GGCAAAGGAATGATATAACTGCCTGTGTCATTAACAGAGCAATATACATTTGCACTGTAAGGCATATCATCAGGTGTGCAGATCAAAGTTGTACAAAATTATTGAAAAACCTGATGCACACAGCATTTTAATAGCAAGTGAAGAACGCTTCCTCAAACCTTTAACATAGCCACCCAAAGTCACCTGAGGGGAGATGGGTGGCATATAAATTTAATAAATAAGATAACCATGGGCAAGTCCTTTGACATGCTCAGATAAAGATTGTCACCAGCTGTCTATTTGTGTATATGGATGCTCAGCACCTTATTTCACTGATGTTCTAAGAAAAATATTGGATCTTTATACAGGTTCATGTACAGATATCCAGGGAGAGTCTTTGAAGTAGAAATGCTAATATGCTCTGCAAAGCACTCCTGAATGCTTTGCACAGCCATAATGCAGATGTTTATACCAAAAATGGGGAAGTCTTTGTTATAATTCTCATAAGCATTTACAGCACAAGGAATATGGTCCCTGCATATGAACCACTACTTATAATTCACTGGATTGTGTCCCCTCCCCCCACTACTGCATCTCTTCAGTTTTTTCTTTATTTTTTGGTAGAAAAAGCTGCCTGTGTTTGGACTAAGCCGTCTACTGCCATGGAAACGGAACTACGCACAACAAAGGACCAGTGGTGAGATTGCTCTGCTTGTTTTCAAGGAGTACAGTATTTTCCACAAAATTCTGAAAGGGGTTTTGTGCCATACCCTATCAACCAGACATTTTGCTTTGCCATATAGTGAATAGCAGACTTCATCTGTGTGAATTACAATTTTTCATTTCTGGAAATATTACTGAGGAAAATCTAAAGAAATACACTTTTCATCCATGCTTTCTCTTTGCAGATACCACTACAAGATGAGAGAATAAGGGTTGCTGAGGCTTCATACTGGAATTTGTTTACAACCAATGCAAAGCATAACCAAGATGCATAGCTGTACCTGTGATCTTTATATATTATTCAAAGTTCTCCAAGGCTCAAATCACCTGTAAAAGAGGTTCTTTTCTATTAATTAATAATGTATTTCCTAAGTGGACAATGTATGGCAACTGCAAACTATAGAATGTCTTCACACTTCATAACAACATCACTTTAGTATTGACTCTTACTCTCTCTGTTCCTGAACCTAATTTGCAACCTTTCCCATGTATGATCTAATTACTAGACCATGGTATCTTCATGTGTTTCATTCTGGGACTATGAGGAACTTGTCAATCAACTAACTCTTATCTTATACACTTCCTCTTGCTACTGTGAGCAACAATATCTAACAAATTATTACCCAGTTATGTCAGTATACATGGTTAGAATTTTGTAAACATAGAGTTTAGCTTATTCAGGCATTAAAAATCACTATGCAAACCACAGCAATAAATTCAATTTCTGTTGATAGACCTGTAACATTGTCTTGACATTGGAATTTGCGTACATAATTCAGATGTCTATGCTAAAAAGCTTTTTATATGTACATAGTCACTTGTATGTAAACATGAACTTGTATCTTGAACCTCACAAGTTGAAGTTTTGTGAGAAAAGCAGTACATGTCCAGTAGTATACATAAATGTCTATTCAAGTACAGAGATCTAGCGAATCTTCCCCACAGTTACATTAATATGCATTTGTTCAAATCTGTAGTCAGCAAGCTGTAATCTATCTTAGTGGAAGAGCTAATGACAGTGCTGTTTGTATAGCTTTCATGGGGAGGATCTTTAAAACTAGTGATTGGTGTATTGTTCTGCCTCTGTTTCTTCTCCCACCCTGTGCCATCTGCTGGCAGGGAAAACAACCGCTAATCACTGTCCTCAGCATGTGGTGGGATGAGCTTGAGTGACTCTGGAAAAGTATCTGGGAGCAAGCTTTAACCACCATTCAAGTTCTCCAAGTGACAAGTTGCCATCATTGAACTTCTCTGCCCAATAACTTGTCACCTGGACTATATTTGAACATGGGGCTTATAATGTTCTGGAAATCTGCTAGCTTTATTTTGTGGGGGGGAAAGTTTAATGTTCCTTTCAAAGAACACTAAATGTGTGTTTGAAAAAAACAGCCTAGCTGAACAGATCACACACAAGGGGTAGGGGATGAAGGCTAAAGCATAGAATGCATCACTTGATTAAGTCTGTGTCAATCCTTTGAATGGGCAAATTCAAGAAACAGGTCAAGAAAGGCTTTCAGGAATGTGGTTATTATTATTTATAAATATATAAAAGTTTATTGTCATTGTATATACAGTATATCCACAGTATACCCATACAACGAAATTCACATAACACTCAGACCCCAAGCTAAATCCCCAGACATACCCCCACCCACCAAAAATTCCCCACCCCTAAACCACTCAAACATCCACACACCAGACCAAGTAATGCTGTCCAACAGATCACTGACGGTGGCCCTTTAGTTCATTGTTGAGTGCAATTATAGCTCTGGGATATAAAACTATTCAGAAGATGTGTGGTCCGAGTTTTAATTGTTCTGTATCTTCTGCCAGAAGGCAACAGTCCAAAAAGATTGTAAGCAGGATGGGAAGAGTCTCTGAGAACGTTGGGCAACTTCCTCAAATAGCGAGATATGAAGATGTCATCCAGGGCTGGTAGCTGGAGCCCGATGATATTCTGGCCAGTTTTAATAATTCTCTGTAGAGATTTTATGTCCGCTGCAGAGGACTTATTATAGGATAGATAACTAAATCTTGAAAGTCTGTCAGTTTTTCACTACACAATCCTATTCTAAACAACAGCAAAGATGAGTTCTTTTCCTCTTTCCTATCTCTCAAAATTGACAAATTTCCTCATTTAACTGTTTCTTTGCCAACATTCCTTTCCCCTCTGCAGCTTTTGGCTGTTCGTGTGACCTCTCACCCAAGAAAGGAAAAAAACAGTGAAATTCTTCAGTAATTAATTGCAAAATATTCCAGATGTTAAATATTGCAAAGGAATAGCACTGCTAACAGCAGGTGGCTACTGGCAAAACCAGGGAGTAGCCCATGGCTAGCACTAGATAAACAAAATGACAAAAAAAAAAAAACACAGAATCTTCGAGATCACATTCAGAAAAGAGAGCTGGCCAATCTGTTCCTCTGGGTTCTTACACAGTAGATAGGTTGCATACAGTAGATAGGTTGCATGGCGCCATACCAAAAGCAGGTGCCATTTCATAGCAGCAGCAATTCATTGTGGCCACTCCCAAAATGGCCCCCACTTCTGGGTCAGCACCAATTGGTGCAGCAGATTGGCTGCTTTCCAAAGAACTACTGAAAAGATGACAGAGCAGTGATGAGGGTTGAGGAGGAGGGCTTGGGACCCAATGGGGTGGGACCCAGCAAGGCAGGAGGGGGAGGAAGATAGGTGGGACACAGCATCATCATTGTGGTTGGTCATAAAAGCAAGTGGATTGTCAAGCACCCTAATTTTATGCGACAGGGGGAGGGTGATGCAGAGATATAACTTCAGGGAGGGTATAATCCCTTCATTCAGTGCCATCAAAATTCTGAACAATCACTGAGCAAAAGGCGTAAGTCAAGAACTACCTGTATTTCTCTTAAGAAGAAGATATTGCAAAATCTGTTTCTCAGAAGCATTGCCTATCAAACACTGGTTGAAATGAATATACTTTTGTCAGTTTTATTTTGATATTGGCTTAATTTAATTCAGGCTGTAGTAAAGGCTATTGAAATATGTTTTTTTTTATGTAGCTCCTTTTAACTAATAGGAATTCTAACGTTATGATTCTAATTTCCAAATTTTCTAACCAACAAGAACTTGCTAGAAGATTGTAACCTCATATTGACTCAAATAAGTTACTTGAAGTGACAGTCGAGATGTATATATTTAGATATACTGTACTATTATTACTGAATATTTTTCTTTTAACAATAGTTGTTCTAGTTGTATTATGACTGCACAGGTAGTCCTCAACTTACAGCCTTCTGCTTAATGACCATTAGAAGTTACAAGGTGCTGAAAAAGTGACTTATGACTGCTTTTCATACTTACGATCATTGCAGCATCCCCGTAGTCACATGATCAAAATATGGATGCTTGGCAACTGACATTTATTTAATGACAATTGCAGCATCCCAAGGTCATGTAATTATCTTTTGCAAACTTCTGACAAGCAAAGTCAATGGGGAAGCCAAATTCACTTAACTACTGTGTAACTAACTTAACAACTGCAATCATTCACTTAATAACTGTGGCAAGAAAGGTCATAAAATGGGGCAAAGTCAGTTAACAACTGTCTTGTTTAGAAAAGGAAAATTTGGGCTCAGTTCTGGTCATAAGTGAAGGACTACTTGTACCGTAATAAAGATGTAACTGAGCTACAGGACCACAATGAACACACCTACATCAAATAAGATTATCTATAACAAAATAATTTGATTTGTTAACAAATACATAGAATATGTAATTGCACAGTTTATTTTATAGTTATCCAAACAGTTAAAACAGAGAAAGGTTTTTTGTGTTCTGCTTCTTCTACAGTAGAAATAAAGCACAAGTATCAAATTAATATTAATTAATAGAATTACATATTCTATATTTTTATGTTATCACAATAACTGTTCACTAAAAACAAATCTCATTTTTAAATGTAATAAAAATGATATATACTGACATGCTTAGAAATATAGACTAAATACTTAACTAATAATGCCCATTTAATCATTTAATGTTTAAGCAATAAATGATTGAATGTTAATTCATTTTTTAAAGTTAAACCATAAATCTATTTATAGGATAAGTTGAACTTTTTCTTAGAATACTGTACTTAGCTAAATCATCAGAATACAAACAGAGAATTAGTAACACAATGTTTCTCTTTTCAAGAATTATGGATTTTCCCCTTTCAATTTTTCATCTGCCTTTGTATTCAAAAAGAAAACTTAAAAGAAATATGTGCTCATTCTATATCTGATTAAAATAATTCCCAAAATAAAACTACGTATACCAAGAGTGCGTTTTCATAATCAATCAATTTTTTAATATAGTCTTTGCACAGTTGGACCGAAATATGAAAAAAGATAAAGTACTACACAGAAATTAAAATAAAGTAAGCCAGAGTACAATATGCATGAAGCATTAAATACTAGAAAAATTTAAAAATTACTAGTTCAGAAGATTACTAAAACAGAATACTAGATTACATTTTACATGGTAAAATGCTGAAATACTATCCTCCACATCCCTATCATCTTCATCCCCTTCTTCTTAGCTTTCCTTCTCTTCTGTTCCATTTCTGGATCGTGTGGCAGATTACCAAATAGAATTTTGTCTCTGGTCATGTAAAGTTGGGATCATTAGCTTTAAATAAATTTCTGATCATTGCAATTTCCAGATTTAGTTTATCCCTGTGAATTATGAAGCCAAAATTGGAGCTTACCAGTCTAAATTTTATTCATCTTTGCAGATAACAAGACTGTCAAACTTATTTATTTTATTTATAAAATTTATAGGCTACCCATCTTACTTCAAGGTAACTCTTAAGCAGACTTCCAGTTTGGAAACCTGGATATTAACATAGGGGCCAAGATGGAAGAAGACCAAATCTTTCTAGGACCATTCAGTTCAAATTTCCTGCATATACCAGGTGGATGAACTCCTTCCACTTTCCTACTGGGATAGGTAGAAGTATATAGAAAGGCAGATACCATTTTTCAAATGGGAGGATTGTTGAACTTTGCTGAAGTTAGTAAATAAATCAAGCCCTGCTCTCTAGCTAACTATTTTAGTTTGCAATCAGATACTTGTACTATTTAAAAAAAATCTAGAAATATCCAAGTTGATGATTAGTCACAATTAGCACTGTATCATTCAGAGTATTTTATACTTAACACTGTCCTTAATTATCTATGAATGGAAATCAGCCAGTAAGGAATGCTCCAATTGAGGATTCTAAATCAATTAGTGTCTCTACAATAGATGCTCCGAGTTGTAAAATTTGCATCAAATTCAACATTTCTGCCATATTTGCATTAACTACCTTAAATAAGAAGCAGTTTCACATCTGTTTATACTGCAGGATGAAAAACATATTTCTTGCCCTGTTTGATGGAGGCTTGAAGTTCATGATAGTAGTAATCTTTCAATCAGTTTTCTACTATTTACAAATTACAAAAAGTTGTAAGTGCCAGTCACTATAACCCAGGGTAGTCATAGATGTACATCTCCCCAAATAAATGCCTCAAGATAATCTCCTTTAGTGACACCATTTAAAATAATCAGATTCAGCCTGCTGAAGATCTGCACTAAATACAATTCAGCATAGTTAGATAGCAGCAGATTGAGAATGGCAAGCAGGAAAGTGGAAAGATTCTAGATATGGAAGACATTGTGGAAATTCTTTGCATTACTCACCCACTTCTGACACTGAAATTACTGACATATCAATGATGATTAGTTCTTAAACAGATTCTCGGGGGAGGGGGTGATGTGCCATAAGATTGCAGTGGCTGAATTTTATTAATGCTGCTATTGCAAAATTCAATGGGTTAATTTCCAAAACTTAGAATTTGGTAGAAATAAATATTCTGAGCCCCTCACTATTGTATCTTCTGCCTTGACTTCCTTTTGTCAGGGAGGTCTAATAAAATCCATTAAGATTAGTTACTTCTTGCATCCAGGTCTTCTGAAAAATTATCACATTAAATTTAGCTAAATAAAAGGTAAAGTCATATTCTGTTATTCTCATCATCAGGCGCTGAAAGCATACTGTACCCTGAAGTAGGCTGCCAAGAGTACTACTAGGCGCTATTTCCATAAGTATTGATTGTGTTGAAACCTCCCGCTGCGGGTCTTCTCCTCTGTTGTTCCTTATGTACCTTCTTGGCAGCTATCTAATCTGGTCAATTAGAAAATTACATCAGAAGAATCCTCAATCCTGTCACTCAGTAATTTAGCCTCTCGACATAGGCCTATTTCCCTTCATCTTTTGTTAGTAGAAAAGCATTGTTTTCCAGTGGAATGGATGAATCAATAAAGTTTGAAACAGTAATCCTTGCTCAGACTCCTGAGTTCCATTCAATCCCTACATGCATCTTGATGAGTGTATATATAGAAAGGCTCCACTTTCCCCCCTCAGGTGGAACTTTAAATCTTCTGCAGACAAACTGAACATAGCTTTCACACAACTCCAGCAGCATTTGTCTGTTTTTGAGACTTTCTCCTGTGGCTTGAATGAGCTTTTTAAAAATATCTTAGCCTACAGAGAATATATTTTGGCTGACTTCATGAAATGGTTTTAAAATAGCATGATTTTTTTCCCCCTCCCAACCTCCCAAGTTCAAGCTCTCAAGACTTGGAGGTGAACACAAATACTACTGTTATGTGGCCTTGAGGACGTCTGAATCACATAGATTATATATGACTGATTAATGGTATTCTAAACGATAGATCTCTGAAAATTCACATCTGCATGTCCAGGATTTAACAGAGGATAAATCTATTTTTTGGTTCCGAAAAGGTTCTGGCAACAAATTAGTTAAGATCAATTAAACTGTTATTTAAATTGAATACGTTTGAGCAAAGTTAACATATTATGATAATCGTAGAATTGAATTATAACATACTGAAGGAATATTAAAATCAAATTTTAAATTTTAAAATCAAATACTAAAAATCTAGATACAGTATTTAAATGAATTTAAAAAGCACATTATATTATATTTTAAGTAAAAACCCCACACATATAAACAGTGGAATTAGTGAATTACAAAGTACACAAAGAGACAGTTTTGTTTCTATGTACATACATAGGCTTTTAAAAAGTTCTAAGAATATATTCATAAAGGACTTTCTGTACTATCTGACTGCACTAAATTAACTAAAACAAAATATATCTTTGGGTTAGGGTTAGGGTCACTTAAACATGCTGTTCTATCTGGACAGATAGAATCAACCTAAACTATGCTTATATATTATGGGATTAAAATAGTCACTAACAAGACAACCAAAATAAAAAAATTCATTTTAATAAAGGGCCTTCATATATGACTTGTGATACAATTATTTTAACATAGCACAACATTATAGTTCTATCTTGTATATATATATTCTTTTACCCAGTTTCACAATTCATTGATTAAACATATTATTGTATTACATGGGATATGGTCTGAGGCAATTTGATAAAAAAAAAAAAAAAAATACTATTTTAATGTTGCAGGAAGAGAAACAAGCCATGCTTTAAACATTACTGTATCTTCAGATTACGAACACCAATTTATTAAAGCTATTTAGAAAGTTAACAATGTTCAGAGTCTCTATTCCTAATTTTTACATTATATTTTTCACTTCTAAATTCCCCAGGGATTCCTTAATATGTTAATAAAATCTTCATCATCCAGAATGTCAATACTTAATCCTTCATAATAATCCTCAAATTCACCAAAGGAAACTTCACTGGGATTGCTGCAGGCATCCTCCAGTGTTTCGAGAAATGAAGATTTAATTTCTTCCTCTGTTGCATTACCTGTTAAAATATTTCTTACTATTAAAGTTGTTACTAAGCATGTCAAATAAAAAAGACTTCTAAAGAAAAGCAAGTTAAGATAGAAAATTCAAGGGATATCTTACTAAAAGTAACTTGTGTAGGAGTCCAGGAGGCAAATGACAAAATGTGCATCACCATGTCACAATGCAAATTGTTGTTACTTAGATACTTGCATACAACATCAGTATGCAAATGCAGAACAGAAGGATTGCTTTGTTTTGTAATGTCACTGCACAGATGCTTACAATAATTCTGTCTCATACTTTAAGCCTAAATTTATCCCAAACTTTGTAATGTCTTTCTCAAATATAGTAGACTACAATATACACCAAATGAAGGCCCTGGGCATGCTTCGGTTTCCGAAGATGCTGAAAGAAATAAGCATCATTATGTTGGCAGTCAGGGAAGATGCTGCTTCTAAGTAGGGGAGGAAGAGAGGAGATGCACAGGGGTGCAGGTCAGGAATGTACATGAGATGTGTGGGAGGTGCCATCTAGATTTGGAAGGATATGTGGCAGTGGTGGGTTGCTCCCGGTTCTGTCCGGTTCTATAGAACCGGTAGTAAAACCGGCAGGAGGCTCCGCCCACCTGCCCCGACGTCATCAAGGGGCTTCTGTGCATGCGTAGAAACATGCGAAAGTAAAGGTAAGTAGAACCCACACCTGATATGTGGGTGTGTGCCATATATGTCGCATGGGATGGGGAGCATGCACAGATGACTGTGTAGGTTGGGAAGGGTTCCCATGGGTGTACAAGAGTTGAGGGTGGGATGGGTAAGATCTGCGGGAGGGTAGAATAGGTCAAGAAGGATGCAAGGAAGTGGCTGCTGCTGGGTGGGGGATAGAGCAAGGAACTGCAAAACTGGCTGGGAAACTGTCATGGAACACTGGAAATGAAGATCACATGACCACAGTAACAGCCAGTAGCACTGAAGCAACCACAAATTTCATAAATTTCATTCTCTTGGGAGTCATAGGTCCCAGATTTTAGATCTGTAAAGTACCTGATTTTAGATACCTAGATTCAAAAATGGTTGCCCTTCTAATGCACTGTTTTTACCTAGTTATGACAACAAGAATTTTAGTAGTAGATAGATACCTGCTATAACCTGAGGATGTTTTCTAGCACAATAACATTTCTTGATATCTACCATAGGGACCCTGCCAATCTTATTGTAATCCAGCTTCATATAAGCCTAAAAATAATCAGAAAAAAATGTGAGCATCAAATATATGGAACAAATGTTTGTACACATCTGGTATTTTTACATAAAAATAAACAAAGTAATATTAACAAAATTAAATCAACATGCTACATGTAGAATCTATATTTATGGAATAGCTGACCTTACATAAACGTTTGGAAAAAGAGAGAAATTAAAGAAGTAATTGGGTAACTGAAATCAGTGCAAGTAAGCTTTTAAAATTTCCTCAGAACAGTAAGTTTTGTTCAATCAATATTTTATAACAATATATTTTCTACTTAGAAATCTGAAAGAGTTTTTTTTTGTCAACACTACCAATTGCTTAACACATTTTCCCTGTTGCATAAACAGTAAAGAATTTTCTCACTGACTCACTTATTTTAACACTGACAATTTTCTTCAGATGACACAGAAAGAATTTTTCTCACAGTAAATCAAATCTTGACATTCTCCCGCCCAAAACCAGTGAAGCATTATAGGGATTAAGAGTATTCAACTTTTAACACAGGAATTATAGTCTTAAAATAAGATTACTTACTTTCCTAACAAATGCTTTTCTGTATTCATTCATTTCTCCAAGAATAGCATGAGTAAATTCAGTGTAATCAAGTTCACCATTATTGTCATCATGTAGAACTAACCATAAAGATTCAAATTCCTAAATTTAAAATACAAAGTCAAATTAAGTGCTGCATACATAATAAGTACTGTGACATAAACATTAGCAAAACCCAAATTAATGCTTCAGTGCATTCACCTGAAAATTGGGCATTTCTTAAAAAAAATTGATGTAAATATTAAAATACCATCATTAATATTTAGTGTTTCAGATGTCACCAAAGCAGCAGGTCAAACAATCCATCAGGTTGTACAAGGGGAGACAAAGACTAACTAGCTTCATTCACTTTCTTCATATTTACTGTAACAACAACAACCAGGAAGGTAAGTAGTAATTCATTTCCAGCTTATGTTACAGCTCTCTCCTATTGGCTAGAACAGTGGTGATGAGCCTATAGCATGCATGTCAAAAGTGATATACATCACTATGTTTTGGATGACATGCTAGCATTCACCGATAACCAGTAACTATTCTTGAAATGTGTCCTGTTCTTGTACAATTTTTGGAGGCTACAGTGTGCAAGAATGGGATGTGCTGTCATGCAGCCTTTAGACCCACCAAAAGTTGCATGAGAGGGCTGTGTTCTCACACAATCTCTGGAGTCTCTGAAAATCATGCAAGAATGGGGCATGCTTTACATGGTTTTCAGAGACACAGAAGAGCATTCTTCAAAGCTACTTCAAGAATGAAGGCCACATAAAACCCAGAGTAGCCTCAGGTAGGCCACAGGCCAGGGGCACATCAACAGAAAGAGAATATGGCCTAAAAGTAAGCAGCAGAAAGTAAGCAGCAGGCTGGTCCTGCCTGTTCCCCAAGCTCAAGAGTTTCTTTCTATGAATTTCTAAGTAACTAAGATCCTTTTAGTATTATATTGCTTATTTATATATGCATGCATTCATATTGGTCAATTTGCTAACTACAACTTACATAGAGTAACATCAGATTGAAATACATAAGAATATAAGCAATAAACATAATGACTGTAAAGAACAATGCAAAATAGCCCAAAATCATGAAAGCCTTGTACTTTGGTCCTGGAGGGTATTATCAAGTCTTCTGCCTGGCTAGGTGGTCCACAGGCCATCTTGCAATAATATCACTATTTTTTCCTATCATATTAAAACTCTAATTGGAATCTCTTAAATTCCCAAATCTGAAAAATTGTACAAGTTCTTTATATACACTGCCATCTCATCGTCCCACTTCGTCTGGCCCATTCCTTTTCAATAAATTGTATCTTTCAATCTTTCCAAATTGCTCATGAATTACATACCACCATGTTGAAGTAATGCCTATTAAATTGTATCTACCCTTATCCATATATAAGGATTTTGACATACCTCTTCAGTCACTTCTAAATGAAATACTTTTAGTGCTTGCCTGTAGTCTGCTTTTGTAATATTTCCATTTTGCTTCTTGTCCAGTTCACGGAAATATTTTCCTAGTCCTGAAATAATACGAACTCCTCTTTTACTTAATTTTGTTCTCAAATTATCTAGAGAAGAAATTTTAAATAGTTGATTAAAATTATGCTTTTTTTCTCTTAAGTACTTCTCTTAAGTACAATAATTGTTTTCAAATATGTAAAAGTATGATCTAATCTACCTCAATATTGCCTTTTAATTAGTATGACATAGTATGATAAGCCAAAAAAGAATTATTTTCTAATCCTGCTATATTAGGAAATTACTGGAGATACTCAGAATTTGTCCTAGGATATTCTACACATAAAGAATTATCCCATTCTGACAGAACATTACTAATATTAAAGAAAATTCTCACTATTTTTTCTATATCAAAAAATTATATTACCTATAATCAAAACCCTATTCTGAAAGTATACTGAAATACAATTACTGTAGAATAAAGTACAATCTAGGTTCCATGAAAATATTTTTATAGAACTCATAGACAAAAATTTATAGCAAACAGAATATACAAACCTTGAATATTCCTCAAAGTTTTCTTCCGATCATCTTCAATAGGATTTTCCTCATTTTCCACATTATAGGTCCTAAAATATATGCATTTGTTAAGCAGTCATAAATACAGAAGGTTACATTCATAAATATGTATTATATTCTACAAATAAATCACAAAGGAAAAACAGATGTTCTGATTTGTAAAATATTTTATAAGTATTTATATTATCTAAAAAGTTTGAAATAAACTTATTCTAATGTTTTAAAATTAGCCTCCCAAATGTAGCAAGATACGAAAGTATTTTATGCAGGAATACATGCAGGCAGTAAAGCACTGTAAGATGGCTTCAAAGATGCAATGAAGAGACATCGGTATTTACTCTTGAAAGGTGGGACAGTTTTTGAAATACAGACCCTTATTTATTTAGGAGTTATTTGCTTACCCAGTTAACGTGATTATTAAAACTCACTCAGCTTGAACAAAGCCCAGATTGATGATTTATATAATGGGGTATAGGCCCTTCTTTTGAACTTTGAAGCTACATTTTAACCAGATTAGTACACAGGTGAAAGAGTCCAGTAGATATGTAATTTCACCTTAAATTCCAATTATGAGTTATAAATTCCAGTTTTGAGTATATGTATTGGAAAAAACAAGTTCAGAGTTATTCTGTTTCTTAAAGAATTATAAAATTATAAATAAAATCTTAACTTGTTCAAGCTAAACCAGTTCGCTCCCACAGAGAGGGACTCCTCAGGGTACCATCGGCCAAATTATGTCGGCTGGCGACACCCAGGGGGAGAGCCTTCTCTGTGGGAGCCCCTGCCCTTTGGAACAAACTGCCCCAGGAAATACTCACAATCTCTGACCTCCGAGTGTTTCGCTGTGCCCTCAAGACCCTGCTCTTCCGACAGGCAGGGCTATCTTTGTAATGGAGTTTTAAATTTGGAGTTTTTAAATTTTGGGGTTTTTAACGAATTTTGGCCGCATATGTAAGAATTTTAATAATTTTTAAATTTAATTATGATGTTTGTATTGTGTTTTTACTTGGCTGTGCACCGCCCCAAGTCCTTCGGGAGAGGGGCGGTATAGAAATAAAATTATCTTAATCTTAATCTTAAATCTTGAGAATTAAACCAATAATCTCATTTGGGGGTATTTTCTAGTCAGGATAATTTATTATTTATTTATTATTTATTATTTAGGCTTGTATGCCGCCCTCTCTCCAAAGGACTCAGGGCGGCTCACAACAATAAATACACAAATTCAATTATAAAATATAACAAATATAAGAATCCATTAAAATCACATTTAAAACCCCTTCAGTCCAATCCGGCCAGGCCAAATAACCATGTTTTAAGATCACGGTGGAAGGAGCGAAGGTCAGGAGCCACCCGGAGCTCCAGGGGGAGCTGATTCCACAGAGTAGGTGTGCCCACAGAGAAGGCCCGCTACCTGGGAGTCACCAGTTGACACACTCTGGCCGACGGGACCCCAAGGAGGCCCTCCCTGTGAGAACGCACCAGGCGATGTGGAGCTATCGCTGGCCGCAGATGGTCCGCCAGGTATCCTGGGCCTAAGCCATAATAGAAGGTATGAGATAGGAAGGGGATTTTGTGTTAATAGATTTGAGTTGTTACTGTGTGATAGCATCAAAGCTACTGTATGTTACACTTCACATTCTTGGCCTTTGGCTAAGATCAAATGTAGTATCTTTGCATTATATTAGGCTTCATATCAAAGCCAGGTCCAGGTCCTTGATTTGTGCATTTGGTATTCCATTGTTGTTTATTTTGACATGCACTTTTTACAAATCAACACCAGTGCTAGGTAGTAACAACAGCTCCTCACCAGTGGTCATGTGGCCAGCATGACTAAACGCCAAAGGCGCATGGTGGTCCCTATTTTTATACTTGCATTTTTACATGCTTTCGAACTGCTAGGTTGGCAGAAGCTGGTTCAAGTAATGGGAGCTCACCCCATTACGCAGGGCTAGGGATTTGAACCGCCGAACTGCCGACCTTTCTGATCGACAAGCTCAGCATCTTAGCCACTGAGCCACCGCATCCCCTATGAATTATTTGGCAAAGCCAAATAAACTACATTATATATCAAAGTAATGTATTATCTCAGTCGCTATATCTGCTAATCTACTATTTTTTAAGATTATAGCATATTCTTTTTCTTATCCCAAATAACTCCTATTGATTTATTTCTAATATCTTACATTTATTAGACTATCATTAAAGTTCTAGAAAGAGCAACAAGAATCAGACAGAAGCATGAAATAACCATTACAGTAAGACATTGGAAATTCTTTTCCTCTATTTACAGGTTTTCCTTTATAAACAATAATGTAACTGCCAATTAATTCTCACTTTTGAAATGAAACTATTAAACTAGTCTTAAATAATCAAATTTTCTTCATATGTGTTAAGAACTGATTTGGAATTCTTGGATATATAATTACAATATTTCTGAGGGACCTACATTACATATAGTTCTGCAATTCTTATTTATTTGAATTATATAAGACTGCAATTTGAGGGGGAAATTAACTTTGACCTGAAATGAAAAAAAATAAGATGCCATTTTGAATTGTATCGTATCTCTCTTCAAACAAATTCAAAATTGCATTTCTTAGAAACAATAACTATAACAAAATAATGTTAGATGTACTCACACATTTTTTCTGTGTTCTGGAGGAGTTTTTATCTTCTACAAAGACCCAATCATATATTAATATTCTGCTATGTGTACCTCTAATCTGGTATTAACATTTATGCTGGAGAAATACAAACAACTCTCAAGGCAATAGATATATAAAATATTTTTGATCAATAAAGAGGATTCATGAGCAGATAGTCTAATTCCACTTACTTTAGAAAAGTTCTAGCCATTTCATCAATATTTGTGACACGGATTGTAAACAATGGTTTCTGCTTAACACTTTCAGGAAGGCCAGGATGCTGAAGGCTCAAAAAAGTTAGGTCTGCCCCCTGTGATCAATTATATAAGAATGATTTAAAAGTACAGTCAATTTTTAGTCTATTCCACAAAGTATCAGTACAATCTTAAAGAGGTGAATTATTTCAAAGATGTCTGACTTTGAGAAACTAGAAAGCATGATGCAATACCAAACAAAAACATCTGTTATGCATTCAGTTTTCTGCAAGGATAGTAATTTTAATGAACAACATCTGTCTACTGTTCTGTCTTCAGTTATCTTTTCTGCTGCACGCCTGCCCAATTATATATTAACATTTTGTTCACTCTCCCTGTCTCCAAATGATCTCCTCTAAATAAGCCACTTTTCTCTCACAATGCTCTTGTTTACTAACAGACAACATCTAACTTCCATGATTTTGACTGTTGTACTTATTGTCTCTGGACTTAATATCGCACAGCTGATAAGAGTTGGAGAGCAGGATTATAAATTTCAAGACTAAAATATTCTTTTGAGATCCAGGGGAAGCAGAATTTATTCAAGGTTAAGAACTGAATTCCTTATCATTATAGATGAACAGAACAGAAAAATTCTGTTTCTCATACAGTATAACAAAAAAATATTTTAAGTTCTTCAGTTCCTCGAGTCTTTTGTAACTTATTTGACAAATTGAAAGAAAGTAATATCTTGATTCAATTAGTCGACTTCCAGTTGTATGCAGATGTAACATTCTTTATATTAAAAAAAATGTAATTCTGAGAAATCTATAATCTTCAAAGAATCAGGAACAAAATCCATATATACTTTTTCATACAGTAATTCCAGATGAATACCTCTTGTATTTTTCTTTTAATTGATTTATTTTTTTCTCTTAATCAAGTGTATATATTAAGATGTTGACAAAACATAACATAGAATGCATGGTGTGTGAACAGTATAGTTTTCAGGCTATGAAAATTACACAGATTTCCAACAGGTAAAAATAATTGTCACAGGTTGCTAATCATGACTACAGACTCTTGCTATTATCAGTTATAGCCACATCAGAGACTATGTATCAACATCCAATGTATGCATTTACTAAGGCATAAGTATTCTTCATTCCGATATTCATTGAATGATTCTATTAAGGATATAGAACACTATTATCTGCTGTAGTTAACACTTCTTCAGTTTAATGTACAAATTCATACTCCCAAGATTTTATGCTGTAAATTCCAAATGTTCTAATATTGTTTTGTTACCCAAATTACTGTCAGGTTAATACAATGACAAATGACTCTATGTACACATTCCTTTACAGCCTGAATGTTCCTCTAATAAACATCATTACTCTATTGTTATTAGTAATATTTTTTTGAATTCTAAAAAAGAGACAAATAACTATATTTTGAAAGAAATTCCTTTGTTGGGCAAGGTTCAGCATCAGGGTTTAGTCCCCATGGTCTATGTCTATTAACTTAAATCCTAAAGTTCAATATTGCCCAACAGAAACCAGCCATAAACACCTACACCAGTAAATTCCTCCATTTTTAGATGTTCCAGTGCATGCGTTTTGATTAACACTTTGATTAAAAAGTTGGTTTATGTTTTACCAAATTAAATAAATAAGGATTAATCTCTTTAAGAAGCAACACAATCCTATTCATTTAATCATAAAAGCTAGTACAAGTTGAGCTCAGTAATCTTCGTCAACTGGCCGTCTGCCCTCTTGTGGCAAAGGGAAGATATGTAGCCTTAAAGCAACTAAAAAACAAGTAACTTTTTATTTAGCTTGCAACTAAAGAATTAGAGCAAGATCTTTCTGAACATTTTTTTTTTTAAATACTTTATTGAATTTTCCAATTTTTTAAAAAGACAATGTACAATCACAATCTTGATCCGAGGTGCAATGTTTACACATTTCATAGATCAAACATTAAGTGAATTTCATCCATAGCTATACAATATACAGTTCTATACAATTCTCTACATTTCTATACAATTAAGTCCATTTCGGGTGTCTAACAAATCGTAGCCTATTATCATATTTTTATCCTATTCTTTAACCAGTTATACCAAATTCCCCATATTTCATAGTACTTGAAGTTCTCTTCATTTTTTAGCTCGCTCGTCAATTTAGCCATCTCTGCGCACTCTAGAATTTTATTTATTAATGCTTCTTCAGAGGGGGTAGAGTTGGATTTCCAGAGTTTCGCAAAGGCTAATCTAGCCGCAGTAATAATTTGAATTGCCAATTGGGTTTTATTGTTGTCGAGACCATCTTCAATCATACCTAGGAGGAAGGATTCCGGGGCCAGGGCTATCTCTTGTCCCATTATTTCCGAGAGCCAGAGTCGGATCTTTAACCAAAACTTTTTGGTCTCAGGGCAAGTCCACCACAGATGGTAAAAGGTGCCGACCGTCTTTCCACATTTCCAACATAAAGCAGAAGAATTTGGAAATATTTTGGCCAGCCTGTCCGGGGCTAGGTACCACCTATGCAGCATTTTGTAGTGATTTTCCCTGAATGTTACCGATTTCGTTATTTTGAGATTTCTGTTCCAAGCTATCTCCCAGTCATTGAAATTAAGGCCATATCCTAAATTTTTCTCCCAAATGCTTAGCTGATTTTTAGCTATCTTCTCAGCTCTATCCTCATCTAATATAAAGTTATAGATTTTCGATAGCATTTTCTTATCTGGTCCCCAAATAATTTTGTCAAAATATCCATATTTCATTTCAATACCACGTTTATCTCTATCTTCTTGAAATCTAGACTTAATCTGAAGATATTTCCACCAATCCAGAATAAACCCCTGGTCCCTCAGCACTTCCAAGGGCTTGAGCTTCCCTTCTTCATCCAAGATATCCTTATATGTGCCCATTTTATAGTTCTCTCTTCTATTTGGGGCCACTAGAGCATCCATAATCGACAACCAGCTAGGAACCTTGGTATATATCTTCTGTCTAATTTCCAGCCACGTACGGATCAATGTCTCTCTAATTTTATGTTTATAGAAATGAGTTTTCTTCCTATCCTTTATGTCCCAGAGATAAGCGTGCCATCCTTCAAGGAGATCGTGTCCTTCTAGTGTCAAGATTCTACCTTCTTGTAATTTGATCCACTCCTTTATCCAAATTATTTTTGCCGCCTTTTGATATGATTCCCAGTCAGGGAGCCCGAACCCTCCCAAATTTCTTTTCCCTTGAAGTGTCTTGAGAGAAATCCTCGATTTCTTACCCTCCCACAAAAAATTCCTGATATGTTTATTCAGATCCGAAAAATTTTTTTTATCTAGTGATATCGGTATATTTTGAAATAGAAATAGAAATTTCGGTAAAATATTCATTTTGATCGCCGCAATTTTACCAGTCAGGGACAATTTAAGCCTCCTCCACCTATCAAGGTCTTGATTAGTTTTCTGCAATAAAGGGATATAGTTATCATCTTTTAATGAAGAGAGTCTCGCCGTAATCCATATTCCCAGATATTTTATCTTCTTAACTACCTGGAGGCCTAATAAATCTTCTAATTCTTTCGTTTGTGGGTTCGTCATATTTTTCACAATTATTTTGGTTTTGTTCTTATTAAGTTTAAGGCCCGCAACTTCTCCATAATTCTGAACTTCCTGCATTAATTTTGGGCCGGTGTCTAATGGGTCTTCTAATATGAAGGCAACGTCATCCGCAAAAGCCTGTGTTTTAAATATTTCCTTCCTAATCTTCAAGCCTTTGATATTTTCATTAGTTCTAATCCTTCTGAGTAAGACCTCTAATGCTAGAATGTAAAGTAAGGGGGATAGGGGACATCCCTGCCTGACTCCTCTTTGGATCTGAAATGTCTGGGTTCTGTCTCCGTTAACTAATATATTTGCCCTCTGGTTTTGGTAAATATTCTCTATCATCCTCCTAAAGTTAGTCCCGAATCCCATTAGATCTATTTGGTTTATCATGAAGGTCCAATTCAGATTGTCGAATGCTTTTTGGGCATCGACAAACATTAAAGCCATCTGTTTTCCAGGGTATTGTTCATAATATTCAATGGTATTTAAAACTGTTCTCAAATTGTCTCTAATCTGTCTCCCTGGGAGAAAACCATTTTGATCCTTATGTATCCATCTATTTAAAATTTTCTTGAATCTCTCCGCTATTATAGTCATAAATAATTTGTAATCTGCGTTAAGCAGTGAGATAGGTCTATAGTTGGAAATCTGCTTCGGGTCGGCACCTTCTTTCAGAATGATCGTCAGGTACGCTTCCCTCCAGGAGTCTGGGATTGTTATGCTAGCAATAACATCATTTAGAATTTCTAACAATTCCAGTTTCAGAGCGTCATCAAATTTTTGATATAATTCTCCGGGGAGACCATCAGGGCCTGGGGTTTTATTCTTCTTTATTTTGGATAAGGCGGTTTTTAACTCCCCTATGGTGATCTTCCCATTTAACATTTCCTTTTCTTCTTCCGGAATTTGAGGAAGGTTGGCTTCCAACAAATACTGTTCTACCTTGTTTAACTCAATTCCTTCATTTTTGTAAAGACATTCATAAAATTTTCTTATGCTTTCTAATTTGTCTTCTTCCTTCGTCAACAGGATGCCCTGTGGATCTTCTAAGGCTAGTATTTGGTTTTTTTCCTTCTCTTTTTTTAATTTATATGCCAGCCATCTCCCCGACTTGTTAGCGTTCTCGAAACAATAGTGCTTAGATCTTCTTATTTTTTGAGCTACCTCCTCCTGGTCCAATAGATTCAGTCTATGTCTCATCATCAACCACTGTTGTTTCGTCGCCTCATCTCCCGGTCGTTGCTGTAATTCAGCCTCAGTTTGTAATAATTTTTGAGTAAGTTCTTCTCTATTCTTTCTTTTTTCCTTATTTTTAAAGGCAGTATATGAGATGGCTACTCCTCTGACATAGGCCTTCATAGTGTCCCACACAATTTCTTTGGCTGTCCCTCGATTTCCATTTTCTAAGAAGAAGCGTTTGATTTCTTCATTCAATTTGAGTGTGAACTCTTTTTCATTTAGGAGATTGGTCCTTAAGCTCCATCTCTGTTGTATTTTCTTCGTATCA